CTTCCAAACAATCAGCCATTGAAAACCCCATGAAGCACAGTTCTACTCTGGCACGCACGAGGTCCCCGCGAGTTGGAATCAACTCCGTGGAACTGGTTTTATTGTATTTCTGGCACCTATTTTGTTGGATGAATGAATGCACCTTTTCTTGACGAACTTGCTAAATAATTTTGGGTTGTTTTGTACTTAAAGGATTTGCAGGTATAAACCTAATCATATTTGTGTGTCATCTGTTGTAAACCGTGTAGATACCGGACCTGAGAAGAGTTGGTATTTTGAGAGGGGAGCAGACTTTCAGTCTGAATGGTTCTGGTTGGCTTATCTAGCGTGAGGCTTGGAGAACAAGTCCCAGTTTATCTAAATTTTTATCAGGGTTACCTCGACAGCTTTTTCATTTGAGTCTGTGTGTAATTTATGAGTTTGTTAAGTGCTTAGCCCTGGTTGCACAGCGGTTAAGACCTCGGCTGCTAACCAAAAGGTTGGCAGTTGGAATCCACCAGCCGCTCCTTGGAAACGCTCTGGGGCAGTTCTACTGTGTCCTCTAGGGTTGCTATCAGTCGGAATCCACTCGACGGCAGTGGGTTTGGTTTTTTGGTTAGTTAAGTGCTTAAAAATTGTGCATTCCTCCATCCAGGGGTCTAGCACCTAGCAGGAGCCTCTCTGGAAAACACCCAGATGTGATGCAGTACTTCTGTCAGTGCTTGAGTCAGCTCGCTTCCCTGTCTGCCCGGCCCTTATCTGAGCAGGGAGGACGACCTTCCTAAACCCCCTGCTGCTGCTTCTGTCAAAGGAGGTGTATTTTATGTAGTAGAAGTATAGTCACCCAGATGAGGGCCACCTCTGGGGAAGGAGGAGAGTGGGGCCAGGCAGGGGCACGGAGGGGCTCCAGCCATGTTTGTAACACGTAATTTCCCTAAAAAAAACAAAGCTCAAGTTAGTGCTGAGTGTATGTAAGTAGGCATTTGTTATATTATCATCTGAGGAGCCCTGGTGGCGCAGCGGTTAAAGTAGTCAACTGCTAACCGAAAGATCACCAGTTGGAATCCACCAGCTGCTACACAGAGGAAGATACGGGTCTGCTTCCATAAAGATCACAGCCTTGGAAACCCTGTGGGGTGGCTATGAGTCGGGATTAACTCGATGGCAGTGAGTTTGGGGTTTATATGATTCTCTGTACTTTAAAAAAAAAATGTTTTAAATATTTAATCATTTTTAAAAACTAAGTAAGAACTCATTAACGGTAACAGAGATGTGTTTATTGAATATTCAGGTAGACATTGACTTTGTCAGTTCGCCACATTTTTCCTGGCCAGAAAAGTGTTTGGTGTCCTTGTCCACACTTTGCAAAGTGGTGGCCAGGACACCGCAGTTGGTAGTGGCGAGGATGAAAAATTCAACAGCAGGAAAAAAGAAAAAAGAACAAGGTAAATGTATGTAGGTGGCATTTCCCACACTTCATTGTTTTTCATAATGCTTTATTTTGCTAATTGCAAAACATTTCACAAACCACAAAATTATATAAAGTTAAAACCAACTACTCCTTGTCCTGTCAAGATTTTTTTTTATTCCTTACATATGTGTGTGTGTATAGTCACAAACATGAACACGTATGTACTTTTTTAACAAATAAGCTCACACATACAACTCTGCAGCCTGCCTTTTTTAACTGACGTGTCTGGACATGCTGGATCTGCACAGGTGGTTTGTCTTTCAGGAAAGAGTTTTGTTTATACTTAAAAATTATTTTGTTGGACTCTGGCATGGTTTCTTGATCCCAAATCAGTATGTTTTAAGTTGTATGTCTATTCCAATGCATAGGAATGCTGTGACTTATAAAGTATAATTTTATTTTCAAATAATACTGAATTCCTAGTAGCTTTTGGTTATCTTCTACCTATAATGGTGGCATCGTGGTTAAGAGCTATGTCCGCTAACCAAAAAGTTGGCAGTTCAGATCCACCAGGCACTCCTTGGAAACTCCATGGGGCAGTTCTGCTCTGTCCTGTAGGGTCGCTGTGAGTCGGAATCGACTCGACAGCAATGGGTTTGATTTTTTTTGGTTTTGGTTCTTTTCTAGTATCTTAGTGAATGGATATTAAATATATAACCATGGCTCCATGGGAGAAAGACCTGGCGATCTGCTTTTGTAAAGATTACAGCCTAGGAAACTGCATGGGGCAGGCGTTTCTGCTCTGTCATATAGGGTCGCTATGAGTCAGACCCCCCACCAGAGGTGTAACTGAGGGATGGCAGGTGGGGCGCCTGCCCTGGGTGCCCCGAGGAAGGGTGCTAATGAGCAGTCCCATCCGGCATCGCTGTTTCTATCACCAGGCATGAGAGGTCATTCAGCAGCTTACACTAATTGCCACAGGCGCTGTTTTCCCTGGATAGGCCCCTGCCCCCCACCCCCAAACAAGCTTAAGAGCTCCTGGATTTAAATGGAAATTAAAGACAGTAGGAAGGCAGGTCTCACTATCAACAAGCCCAGATGTAGAAATCCGACCCCTAAGCCACCTGGCTTCCAGGAGAGCAGAGAACATGATCTTCATTTTCACGTAAGGCTGTTAATTCATTATTTTCCTACCTTGTCTAAGGGTGAGCTCAGTGGGCAGGCTCAAATTAGAGTCCTTCCAGAAGTCTAGTTCCTATTGGAAAGATTAGATTCTTAAACCATAAAAACCTCCCGAGTGTCAGCCTGATGCTGAGCGGAGGGTGCTCAGGGGCCAGGAAGCCCAGGAGTTGTTCCAGATGTAAGGAAAACAGGAGGCTCCCTGCTCTCCTACCTTTGGAGTAAGCACGCCTGTGCACGTGAGGGAGGCAGAGACCAGGTGGCTCCCCGATGGTTTCACTTATCCGCAGCGCTTATCTTAGGGAAGGAGCCCTGGTGGCACAATAGTTAAGAGCTCGGCTGCTAACCAAAAGGTTGACAGTTTGAATCCACCAGCCACTCCTTGGAAACCCTGTGGGGCAGTTCTACTCCGTCCAGTAGGGTCGCTGTGAGTTGGAATCAACTCAGCGGCATGGGTTGGGTTTGATTTTTTTGTTTTCTGGGTGGGGTTGTTAGATGAAATACAGGATACCCAGTTCAATTTCAATTTTAGATAAACAATAGTTTTTTAGTATAAGTGTGTCCCATGCAATAATTTGGAACGTGCTTACACTAAAACAGTATTTGTTGTTTATGTGAAATGCAAACTGAACTGGGCATCCCGTATTTTTACTTGTTAAATCTGGCAGCCCTAGCTGGGAGCACCAGGGGATGGCAGAGGCTGGCTCAAGATCTACCCTGTAAAGGCACATGCCAGGCTGGGAGGTCCCCACTGCGGGCTGTATTCACGTGTGAGCTGGATAACCACTTGGTGGGGATATTGTAGAAGGAGTTCAGGTTTAATATGTCTGGTTCCAGGGACACCCTGGGAAGTAAGCACTGTGGTGACAAGTAGGAGGGTTGCTGACACAGCCCCTTTCCAAGCTCTGGAGCATCCAGAGTTCAGAAGCTCTCCTGAAATCACTCCCCATCAGCACCGTACTGGGAAGACCATGCCCCCCTGCTGCCCAGGAGTGAGGGATGGCCTCCGTCAGCTGGTGGAAACCAACCCCACCAGCGTGGTTTCTGCAAGTGGTCTGGTTCGGCTTGAAGAAGCACTGTGTTAAAGGGGAAGTGAAACGTGTATTTCTGTTTCTCTTGCCAGGAACTGATGGAGCCTTCCTGGTTCTTTATGGGTCTCCGGCAGCAGAGTGTGACTCTGACACGCTGAGGGCTGAAAGCACCCCGCCTCACCCCAGGCGCGGCTGGTAGCATGAAAAACCCCCACCACCAAGGCCATGCACAGGCCTCTGCAGGCAAGTGAGTGGAGACGGAGACTCTCAAGTGTTCATTTCTTTACTTCTCTAGAGATTCTTTAGGTGTGACTACATCCTCCCAGCAAGTCAGCATTTTAAACACAGCCTGCTTTTAATTGCCTGCATATAGCTTCTGACCTCCGTGAACTGCCCACAGCAAAGATCTTATCCTTGGCCAACCTCCTCCTGCTCACCCACTTCCCAACCCTGGGGTGTGCTGGGTGCCGAAACTCATTTTGAGGCCAGAAGGGGATCGGGAGGCACAGCGCAGAAGTAAAGTCTTACAAAGGAGCTCTAGTGGCGCAACAGTTGTGTGCTCTGCTGCTAACCAAAAGGTCAGCGGTTCAAACTCACCAGCTACTCCTTGGAAGAAAAGATCTGGTGATCTGCTCCCATAAAGTTTGTTGTTGTTAGGTGCCATTGAGTCAGTTCCAACTCAGCGGCCCTGTGTACAACAAAACAAAACACTGCCCAGTCCTGTGCCATCCTCACAATCATTGCTGTGCTTGAGCCCCATTGTTGCAGCCGCTGTGTCAATCCATCTCATTGAGGGTCTTCCTCTTTTTCGCTGACCCTCTAACTTAACCAAGCATGATGTCCTTCTCCAGGGACTGGTCCCTCCTGATAACATACCCAAACTATATGAGATGTAGTCTTGCCATCCTTGCTTCTAAGGAGCATTCTGGCTGTACTTCTTCCAAGACAGATTTGTTCGTTCTTTTGGCAGTCCATGGTACCTTCAGTATTCTTCGCCAACACCACAGTTCTAAGGCATCAGTTCTTCGGTCTTTCTTATTCCTATAAAGATTACAGCCTAGGAAACTCTGTGTGGACAGTTCTATTCTGTCCCGTTGGATTGCTATGAGTCAGAACGAGCTCGACAGCACCCAACAACAACAACAAAGTCTTATATTCCAAAAGCAAACAGGAATGGTATTATCTCAGGGTTGCTTCCCTCTGTTAGGATAGTTTAAGTTTGATTTAATGCTTAAGTTGATAATTGAATATTATTCATTAAAAATAAAACGTTAAATACTGTTATATCAATTAAAAAACGCATTTGCTGCTGATCCTGTTAACTGAAATCACCTGTTCTTTTTTCCCTTTTGCGTACTTGATGGTGTATAAGTAGCAGGGGTGTCGCTTGTGTTTTCCAGGAAGACTCCCTGAATGGCTGACGTCTGACAACATGCACCACCAGTGGCTTCTGCTGGCCGCATGTTTTTGGGTGATTTTCATGTTCATGGTGGCTAGCAAGTTCATCACGTTGACCTTTAAAGACCCCGACGGTAGGTGTGCTTCATGTCGGAATGGGTTTTTGTTCATCGAGGCCTTGCTACGCTGTTGTTGTTAGATGTGTGCACAGATGACCTCCATCACAGAGTCAGAGGACTGGAATGCCACGAGAGAGCACGGAGCTACGCATAGCGTCCAAGTCCTCGTGTTATAGAGAGGCCCAGGAGGGGAGGTGGAGAGGGATGGGCGGTGCTTCCCCAGGACCTCCCCTTGAGGGCGGAAGTTGCTTTCTTTTTGGGCTGAATGTTGTCAGAGGAGCAGGGCCTCCTCCCCATGGTGCCCTGTGCTGCGCGCTGTTGCGTTTCACCTTGCCTCACAGGCTCCTGGATTGGGAATCCACTCTGCTTCCGGTCGTCGTGGAAGACGCAGCCATGATTGATTAGCGTGCCTCCGTGCCCCCGATACTCTGCACCAGTGGCCGCGTGTCGGAAGGTCACCTGCGGTGCAGTGGAAGGAAGGCCCTTTGCATATGTGTATGTCAGGTCGTCGAGGATCTCTAAACTCCCTTTACTGAACACAGGCATTGGAATGAGGATGTGGAACGAGCACCAAACCAGGGCTCAGGAGAGCTGATTTCTAGTATGCGCTCTTGTCATTTGCTTACCTGAGCCTTAGTGGGTTTTGTTTTTTCTCTAAAAAATGAGCATAATACCTGCTCTGACGGTCTCCCAACATGGATGGTAGTGCAGTGTGGTGCTCTCGTCACCTGTGAAGTGTTGGGTCTGGGCCGGGAGGCATGGTGACGACTCCGCTTTGTGGCACAGCCCGCGTCCTGTAGGGTTCACAGCCCACAGGAGGTGTTGAAACCGCTCACTGGCAGCGTTAGATCGGCCTGATGACTTCGGCCTGAGAAGAAGGATACTTGTGAGCGCGGGTGGGCGCAGCATCTCTGTCCTGCACAGCCTCCTGCTGATGGCGGCTTTTAGAAAGGAGGGGTGATGAGATACGCGTCCGCCCCGCTGTTTTCCCGAGTTACTCCTGGCGGGCTGTGCAGGCCTGTGCCACCTGCGTGCCACCCGGGCTGCCTGTGGCTGGTCCACCCCGTAAAGCTCCCGAGGGCGTCCACCTGCTGTGCCTGGGGCTGCTCCAGGCACCACCTCCCACTCCCTTCCTCTCTGTTCCCACCCTGCCTGTAAAGGAGCAACAAGATGGATCCGAAGGCTGCTGTGCAGGCGAGGGGAAAGCACTGACATTAGCACCAGCGGGGGTTCTTGGCTTCACAGTCTCCACTCAGTAACGTTTATTAGGCATTGAGGGCTGGAGGCTGACTGGCTGGCATCGAAAGTCCCATGCTCATCTTCCAGGGGCCCTGGTGAGAAACCCCTTGGAAAGGTGGCGTTACACCTCCCGGTACTTGGGGTAGCCAGAGCTTCACGGGTAACTTCAGCTCATGCAGGGCCTTGGCTCTGTTAGAGGAGCGAGAGTCAGATCTTATAGGGTTGTTAGGATTTGAGACAATGATCTCCACTGGACAAGCAGGAAATTTTTCCAGTCGCTCCAGCATAATTACATATTACTGATAACGGAGCCCCCTTGTGTTAGAGCCCTGGTTCTCATCCCTGCTGCACTTCAGACTTTACCTGCCCCACAGCTTGGTCTGGACTGAGACCAAGCGAGCTAGAATCTCTAGGGCTGGGGCCCAGGGCCCAGACATCTGCATTGTTTTAAAGAACTCTGAGGTGGTTTTAGTACTGAGCTAGAATTGAGAGCCTCACATGTAGAACATGGGTGGGAAATTGGAAGAAAAATGAAGAGTTGCTGCAAATGTGAAGTAGACCTTCCTAAGGGTCCACAAGGAGCCCTGGTGGTGCAGTGGTTAAGCGCTCGGCTACTAACCGAAAGGTCGGCAGTTCTAACCCACCAGCTGCTCCGTGGGAGAAAGATGTGGCAATCTGCTTCCATAAAGATTACAGCCTTGGAAACCCTATGGGGCAGTTCTGCTCTGTCCTGTAGGGTCGCTGTGAGTCAGGATTGACTCGACGGCAGTGGGGTTTAAGAGTGCACACATCTTCCTCATGATTTCTTCAGTTCCTGATAAGGAAGGAACTCAAAAAAGCGTGTCAGCCTGGGGTCATGAGGTTAAATTGTTTATGATATATTTTGTTTTCAGAGGTAGATATATATGTAATATATTTTAGAGAGCAGTCCATAAAAATAGTTACATAAACTGTCTCTGTGAGTTTTAATATTACCTGGCAGAATCACCTCTAAAGAACACCTCATCCCTCAGTATATCCGGTAAACAAGGCGCCATTCTGCTATGATGTGGCACATTTTATGCTGAACGTTTTCTGAAAAGTATGGAAGCCAGAGACGGTTTTGTGAAGGAAAGTAGAAATTGGAGCATTAGAAACTAAGACCTGTAAAGAAAGGTGAAAGGCGTTAGAGCTGTAAACCCGGAGGAAAGGCCGGTGGAAGTCCTTAAGCGGTCACGTGGCATCGAGTCAGCTCCAGCTCATGGCAACCCTGTATGTGTCAGAGTAGAACCGGGCTCTATAGGATTTTCAACGACTGATTTTGTTGAAATAGATACCAGGCCTCTCTTCCGAGGTGCCTCTGGGCAGACTTGAACCCCCAGCCTTTGGTTAGTGGTCAAGTGCATTAACCATCTGCACGCCCCAGGGACTCTGTTCACTAGGTATGTCTGGCCCTCTGCCTTTCCGGTGAGAGGGAGGAGGCACTTGTTCCCGTCCTGTGAAGTGGGATGTGTCTGAGCCGTTGCTGTGGCAGTGACTTATGAGTGACAGTGGCTGGGGCCGTCTGTGGGAAGTTCAGAGCCAGCGCACACTTCGCCCCGTTCCCCTTTCCACCTCAGAGAAAGTGTGGAGAGAACCTCCCAGGGTGGGGTGGCTGTGTGAGGAGGTGCCACGCGTGACAGTGTGCAGTGAACTTAGAGAACCCTTCGTTGTTGCCACTGAAATTTGGGGCTGTTACCCACAGGGTCGCTAGGAGTCGGAATGGACTCGGCAGCAGCGGGTACTGTCATACAACCTCGCCTGTCTTGACTCGTAAAGGATCTTGTCTAATTGTCCCTAAGCAAATGGTTAGGATCCCGAAGATGAAGGTTCACTGAGTTCTGACAAGGAGGGACTGAGCTCACCTCTACGCAGGGCTTCTGGCCTGTCTGGATGATCGCACACTGGATCAGGTGTCCGTGAGAAGGTGAACAGTCACCACCCCTGGAAGCCACTCGAAAGAACCACCGTGGGTTTCGGTGGCTGAGGCATCTGCTGCCTCAGGGCAGGGCACGTTCTGAAGCTCTGTCCCCATCCCTCCAGCCTGTGGTTTAGTGAGGGCAGTCACTTCATCTTGCTGGGCCCTCGCCTGTCAGGAGACGGTCAGTCCACTGGTGGATCTGGGAGCTCTGCAGGTAATGGAAAGGGGTTTGTCAGCGTGTGGCCGGAAGGGGCTGTCTCACATGGTGGAGTTTACTTCCCTCCTGTTCACAGTGTGTTTGCTTTTGAACCAAAGGCCCATTTTGAAGTATCGTTACAAGGAAATTACCTCAGAACACAGTGGTAGCCAATAGGATGAAGTGTCATTTCTTTCAAGGAAGGTGGAGAATCCTTGGTCTCCGTGTTGGAGCTAGCTGGCGACAACTCGGGTATCCATGGGGCCACTGGTTTGGCTCTGCCCTTCGAGAATTGGGGCTCTTCTCCAGAACCCCAATCGGGGCAGGTGTGTTTTCTCCTCAGCTAAGTGTTTGTAATGATTTTTCCCTGGTCCTTGGGCGGACAGGAAGAGAAGATTCTTCTTAAACTACTGCTTAGAGCAACACTTACCTTTTTTTTTTTTTTAAATAGTGTTACGGTCTCTCTTCAGTTCGTGGAACCGGAGTGATGTTTGTGGCAGTTACTAATCCTTGGTCAACAGATCTCAGTGTCATATTGAGACCAGGACGAAGTGTTGTAACTAGACTTTATCATAGGAAAAAATGCCTTCAGTAGTGGGAACCAAAACCAAACCTGTTGCTGTCGAGTTGATTGCGACTCGTAGCGACCCTATAGGACAGAGTAGAACTGCCCCATAGGATTTTCAAGGAGCAGCTGCTGGATTCAAACTGCTGACCTTTTGGTTAGCAGCCCAGCTCTTAACCACTATGCCCCCAGGGCTTCTCAGTGGTGGAATTTGATGGCATATATTGATACTCCAAATAAAAAATGACATCCTTGTGAATGTGCTCTGTGTGTGTGTGTGTGTGTGTGTGTGTGTAGAACCGGCCTTTTTTCTTTTCTGTTTTACTTTACTCTCACAATCTTTGCCTTGTCCCAGCTCCTCAACTTGATTATAAGCCACTTGAGGGCAGAGCACGTGACTTAAATGGTTTGTATGCCCTTGTTGTTATTAGGTGCCGTTGAGTTGGTTCTGACTCATAGCAACCTTACGTGCAACAGAACAAAACACTGCCCAGTCCTGCACCATCCTCACAATTGTTATGCTTGAGCCCATTGTTGCAGCCACTGTGTCAATCTATCTCATTCTTCCTCTCTTTCGCTGACCCTCTACCTTACCAAGCATGATGTCCTCCTCCAGGGACTGGTCCCCCTGATAACATGTCCAAAGTACGGCAGACAGAGTCTCACCATCCTTGCTTCTAAGGAGCATTCTGGCTGTACTTCTTCCAAGACAGATTTGTTCATTCTGGCAGTCCATGGCACAGTCAGTATTCTTCGCTAACACCATAATTCAAAGGCATCAATTCTTCGGCCTTCCTCATTCATTGTCCAGCTTTCTCAGCGAGTGCTGGGTACAGAGGACACGCATGGGATGGATTGGTACTGCCCATTGACTAGATGCAAAGTGTCGTCATGAAGTTGAGTGGAAATGATCACTTTTAGAAAAACAAAGTAGTACATCACTTGTAAATCTACCAACATTTTTGTAAACGATGTTTACGACAAAAATGAACTAATACCTTACGAAAACACTTAGCCATGCCTAGAGGCTGAGAGTGCTTGGTCCTGAAGCTGCAGACTTGCTCCTGGGGTCCGAGTGGAGAGAGAGAGACACCGCTCTGTGATCCTAGCAGAGATGATGACGAAAACAGATGGTTGTCTGCAAACCAACGGAAAAAGAAAACCAAATGCAGATTGTTTTCCGAGTTTTGTTTAAATCTAGTTGGATCAGGGTTAGCAGAGTGGGGAAGCAAATACTAGGAAGTTTGAAATCGTGTTGCTGTTGTTGTTAGGTGCCGTCGAGTTGATGCCGACTCACGGAGACCCCGTCTGATAGAGCAGAACTGTCCCGTAGGGTTTTCTAGGCTGTCATCCTTATGGAAGCAGATCGCCAGGTCTTTCTCTCACAGAGCCGCTGAGTGAGTTTGAACCAACAACCTTTTATTAGCAGCTGAGAGCTTAACCATAGCACCACTGGGGCTCCTTTCGGAAATCATAAAAATGTTAAAATCGGGGGATGACTCCTCCAGCGTGCATGGGATTGGAAGGTGAGATGCTGCACAGCTGTCAAAACCCGTGCTTCTTAGCGTGTAGAATCAGTGGCCTTTCAGAATTCATTCATAAGTCGGTTGTTTAGAATGCAGGGTACACAGGCCACCTCTTCAGACAAAGATTAGACTGGACTGTGGGGCATAAAATGATACTTGTGAGGAGTGTGCCTTTTAGCTCAAGTAGGTACAAGAGACTAAATGGGCGGCTCCTGTTCGGAGGTGAGATGGGAAGACAGAGAGGGTCAGGATCTGGTTGAATGGACATGGGAAAGCTGGGCTGGAAAGGAGGGGTGTGCTGTCACACTAGAGGGAGAGCAGCTAGGGTCACAAGCAATGTGTGTATAAATTTTTGTGTGAGAGACTACCTTGAATTATAAACTTTCACTTAAAGTACAACAATTAAAAAAAAAACAAAAAAACAATGCGGGGTACATTTCCCTATCTATAATGTTATCAAGGAAGCTTAGGTTTCTGGGAAACCCGTGCAACCTGTGACAGAGCTGAGCATTGTAGGAAGTGTAGCAGAAAACATTGTTGGAACGCTGAGTCGCCAAACAAGAATGGAATGAGAATTATTTATTAGCATGTCATTGCTCACAGATGGCCAGCTTAAAGGGGGCAGGCAGACAGAGTCTCCGCGGCCTGGTAGTGCCTTCAGGAGCGTTAACGGCCAGTGGCACTGATGCTCCTGCCTACTTTTACAGAATACGTGGTGTTCTCGTCCTTAGTCCAGTCCAGAACGGCTCCTGCACACAGTGTTGTTTAGAGTCGCACTTTGACGCAAACAGAGAGAAAAAAAAGGAAGAAGATCTTGGTGGGGTTCATAAAGGTGTGTGGCAGAGATTTCATTGGAATCAGATAATGCTAAGGTGTGAGAGAGAGGGGAGACAGGGTGATGATGATTGTCAGGGCATTTGTACAATTGTTGTGAAGCCCCCCTCTGTACAGGGGAGAAAGGAGGAAGGACCTCCAGGCTGCAGGGTGCTTGTATCCACTGCTCTCTGGGGAGGGAGGACATTTAGTCCAACAGCCAGACTGGGGTAGGGGGGACCGTGGAGCTGCAGCAGAGGTGCACAGGGCTGGCATTAACGACCCAGGAAGAGTGGGTTTTGATTTAAAAAAATTTTTTAAAGTGAAATATGCCTTTGTGTAACTGACTTATGCTCTTATTTGGTACCTACTTTTTCTTTCTAATTATGTATTAGACTTTGAGAAGTGTTGAAAGTAAACATTTCTTGGTTTGCAGAGATATGAAAGAGAGATGAAGGTTATCTTCAAATTCTACCCCAAGGTTTCCAAAAAGACTGTTGTAAATGATCACTCTGGGCAAACAGACTCTTAAGATTGCTGTAGTCTGATCTCTGTCCCCTGGCTTTTTTTTTTTAAACTAATGCTTAAGCGCTAACTTGACTACTGAATTGACTTGTGTTTTTTTTTAACTAAAAATTTTATTTTGAGAAAACTGTAGATTCACATGCAGTTGTAAGAATAACAGAGTTCCTTTGTGCCCTTGACTCATTTTCCACCAATAGTTACATCTTGTAAAAACCATAGCGCCAGGATAATGATATTGATACTGATAGTGATATTGATATCAATAGTGATAGCGATAGGTTCAAGATCCCCAACACTTCCATCACCACAGGCCCCCTCATCTGCCTTTTTATAGCCACACCACCTCCCTCTCTGAGTCCCCATTCCTCCCCCACCCCCCCGGCAACCAGTAATCTGTTCTCTATCTTCATACTTTGTCATTTGAGAATTATGTAAATCATATAATATGTGACCTTTTGGAATGGGCTTTTTTAAATCAACATAATTCTCTGGAGATCCACCCAAGTCACTGTGTGTATCAGTATTTCATTCCTTTTTATTGCTGAGTAACATTCCATGGTATGGATGTATCACTGTTTTTTTAGCCATTCACCCGTTGAAGGACATCTGGATCGGTTCCATTTCGGGGCTATTAAGAAGAAAACTTGCGTGAACGTTTGTGTATAGTTTTCATGTGAACATAAAAGTCTTCGTTTCTCTGGGATAAATCCCCAGAGTGCAGTTACTGGTCCTGCAGCAGCTACGTGTTTAGTTCTGTGACAAACTGCCAAACTTTCCCAGGGTGGCTCTACTGTTTGCGTTCTCACCAGCAGTGTACGGGTGATCCAGTTTCTCCACATCCTCGCCAGCATTTGGTGTTGTCGCTGTTCATTTTAGGCATTCTGATAGTCGGGTAGTGTTATCCCACAGTGGTTTTAATTTGCATTTCCCTGATGGCTACTGATGTTGAACAGCTTTTCATCTATATATCTCTTTGATGAAATGTCTTTTCATGTCTTTGGCCTGTTTCCTAAGTGGATTGTTTATTCTTTTACTGTTGAGTTTTCGGAGTTCTTTACATATGTTAGCTATTAGTCCTTTGTCAGATAGGTGGTTTATAAACATTCTCCCACAGTGTATAGCTTGTCATTCCTCACCTTCACAGGGTTTTCCTAGAAGGGAGCAAAGGTTTGATGAGGTCTATTTACACATTTTCTGAAGATTTTCTCATAGATTGTTTTAAAGTTTTATGTTTTGAACTTAAGTCTGTGAACCATTTTGAGTGAATTTTTTGTACAAGGTGTGAGACTCAGGTTTAGGCTCCTTTTCGTGTCTGTGAGATCCAACTGCTCCAGCACTATCTGTTGAAAAGACCAGCCTTCTTTCATTGGACCGCGTTTTTACCTTTGTAAGATATCCGTCAGACATAGCTTTGTGGGTCTGTTTCCAGGTTAAAATTCTGTTCCATTGATGTACATGTAAGAAGACTTTCTCGCCTCTCTGTCTTCCAGCGTACAGTGCCAAACAGGAGTTTCTGTTCCTGACAACCACGCCGGACGAGAGCAAGCTGTCAGAGGAGAAGCACTTTCCCGAGGAACTGAAGGTGGGCACAGCACAGCAGCGGGCCTTGGTCTCCCCCATGATGGCCAGCAGAGGAGCAGGACTGTTGGCACCTCCTGAGGAGGATGGTCACCCGGGGCCTTTGTTTGCCCAGCACAGCACCTCTCACCAGATGCTCTGGTGGCCGGCCAGGCCCACTGCTGCAGTTGAGGGCGTGGGTGATGCAGACAGCAGGGGAGGGCCTGGCCTCAGGCATAGCCCAGCTTTGGCAGGTGCTGTGGTGGGGGGATCGCCAAGAGTGAGATGGGGCACGACTCTGTCATCGTGGCCTGAGAGGGCTGTGACCCCAGCACTGCGAGCTCACTCGCCGGGAGTCTCTTGGAGGGGTTGTCAGACCTCCATCGTGAGTGTGCCCAGCCTGCTGGGAGGACTTACACCTAGAGACTGGCCAGACTTGTAATTCATTTATAAAAATACCATGCTTTCTTGGTGGATGTGAGCAGTTCCTTCTAGAAGCAAGTACACCTTGCTTCTAGAAGAGCAAATTTTTCCTCTTCAGAACTTTAAAATATTTATTTTATTGTTACAATTTACGGGCACCGTTTTGCAGGAACACAACAGTCAGGGATGTAGGTGGGAAAGAGACGGGCCACCACAAAAAGCAGGACTGAGCCTCGCAGAGAAACAGTTCTCAGCAGAACAAAATAATAACTCATCAGTTAATCGGCTGTACACATATTCATCTGCAGCAGGAGCTTGTGGTAAGGTCTTCGGGAAATACAGAAGAGATACTCGGCGTGATCTTTACCTTCTCATAGCGTGTGCTGTGACTGCAAGAGGAGCTTAGGAGGAAGAACGTGTGTGCTGAAGCTCTAGGCGCTGCATCCAGAGAGGACAGTCCCTTCGTTTATTTGTCTCCTGGTGTGTGTCTAGCCCTGCGCTCGTCTCAGAGCTGTGCTGTGAGTGGAGAAGGGGCGCTGTGGAGTCTTGAGGTGAACTGAGAAGATAGCCATGCTGCAGGAGTAGAAAAACATGAAGGAAACAATTCGTAGCCTGGGAAGAGTTGGCCACGCACTGTCAGTGGTACCCTGCCTTCTTATGAAGACAGGCCAGGGGCTGGAGATGGGGAGGGTGCCAGCAAGCTCTGGGCCTCACACGGGCATGGGGCCAAGGTGGCTAGGGAGCTTAGACATCTCCCCCAGAAGCTTAGTCAGAGAATGAGTCCCAGGGGGTCAGCAGAGGGGCCACCCGAGGTGTGGTCAGGGTGGCATCACTAGGGCCTTGGGGTTGTCAGGAAGTTCCAGACTCATAGGAAGTTGAGTTAGCTAGGTTTCTCTATTTCTCTAACAAGTCACCAGAAGGTTTCCCCTGTGTCCAAGATACCTTCCCCTTTAAATGCAAACACCCCTGCGTGTTCCCATTTGGGTTCATCCATTGCCATTCTGCAGTCAGGCCAGCCCCCTGCCTCCACCCTCAGGCCAGCCCCCTGCCTCCTCCCCTCAGGACAGCCCCCTGCCTCTTCTATCTTACCTGTGGTGTCTCCCTCTAACCTGCCTTATCCATTCTCCAACCCCAAGGCAGAGACACCTTTCCTCAAGGAGCCCTCCATCTCATAGAAACTAGCCTCCCCTTTCTTTGTGCTTTCGTTGAAGTTTGCTTCCACTTTATCATCACTTTCTGCCTCACTGTAGCTGCTTTTGTTACTTGTGTGTGTCTCTCTTCATCATTTTAGCTTTTGCTTGGAGGAGGTACGGGAGGCACATTTATTTTTATGTCCCTCACAGTGCTTTGTACGTCATGGATGCTCTGTAAATGTTGGTCGTGATGTATTCCTGAACAGCTGAGATAATTAGCCTCGCCGAGAGAGTAGAATTTGCTGGGTAAGGTCAGGATGCAACCAGGGGAGCCGGAGAAGATCTTTGACCCAGCATCATGGAATTTTAGAGTTAGAAGGGGTCTCGGACAGCAGAGTAGCTAATCCAGCTTCCTAGTTGTATGGATGAGAGACCTGAGTCTAGGAAAAAGGTTAATCCAAAATCTTGTGAGAGTTGCTGGCAGAGCCCAAGGCTGCCGACTTCCACCCAGCGCTCACCATCCTCCACATTCCCACTCCAAGGCTGGACTTCCACCCAGCGCTCACCATCCTCTACATTCCCACCCCGAGCCTGCTGACTTCACCCAGCGCTCACCATCCTCCACATTCCCACCCCGAGCCTGCTGACTTCACCCAGCGCTCACC